TAGGGTTCAGGGGCTGAGGGTTGAAAGGCGAGACCAGAAGCATCACATACCCTGTTGCTTGCCTAACCCACATAACCCTGAAGCCCTTGAGCCCTAAAGTCCGAAAGCATCCGACCCCACATGAGTCGTTGCGAAGTATCGTGGAGGCAAAAAGCACTAAGTCCGCGAACCCCTACCTGCCTCAAACACGTAAACCCTTTAAAGCTCTAACAGGACCCTAAACCCTCAACCCTAAAGCCCACAATCCCTGATCAGTCCACTTCAAAAAGCAACGAAAGTAAAAACAGGGCTGCGACGATCAGCTTCAAAGAGTTTCTCATCTTGGCCCGGCGAACGCGCGAGGTCGGGATCCGAGCTTCTTAGGACTTTGAGGGGCTATAGGGTTTATAGGTTATGGGCCTAGGGGAGTAGGGTTGCAGGGTTATGGGATTTCGGGTTTTGGCTTGGGCTTGGGGCGCTTGGGGTATGTATATGGTCTTTCTTGAAGTTAAGGGTCCGCAGCATCCCTGTTGGGTCTATATTGGGATAGCAATAGGGGTTGGGAGTTTTGTGGTTTCACGGGAATGAGTGCAGCTGGCACTTCTGAATAGTAAATTGGGGGAAGACAGATGGGGGGTGCACACGGTCTCAACGGTGCAGTGACTAGAGAGCATGTTGGAGTGAACTGCTATTTGTAGGAGTGTAACACCTGGGTTTGGGCCTGACGGCGGTAAGTTTGGGAGTTGGCGGCCTGCTGCCAAGTTCGGGGTTGAGGGTGGAGGTGTTGGGCTCGGGGAAAGAACCTACTCCCAGGCCTGGAATGACCCTAAACGCTAAAGCCATAAATGCCAACAGAAGCGAAACTGAGAAGGACGGGAAGTGAGCCTTTTCTTCCAAAGACAGTCCTTCCTGGTGTTCTCTTTGACAAGAAACCCATTCTCTGCCTCAGATGGAGATGCTGCAGCTCTCCAAAGAGATGCCAGGCACAGCGCAGTCCTAAGTCCCCGAGCCGAAACCCCACAAGTCCCTGAGCCAAAACGCGATTGGAATTGGCTTCTGTCTCCCAGAGATGCGACGGATTGTGCTGTTCGTAGTTGGTGGGATGGTACTTGTTTGTCATTTCCCTCCCGATGTGAGAAGTTATGAAAATTTCATGCGGGTGGCCATCATGATCCCTGTCCCCGACCTTGGCAACATCATGGTCATGGTGGCCTCGACCATGTTCTGATCTTCATCATGTCCCTGCGAAGATACTTGCCGCAGGCATGCTCAATACGCCTTCCACGGTATCGATCTCAGCCGGCTGCTACTGCAATAGTGCAAGGACAGACGACGCTAGTTGCCACACTACTGCCAGTCCCTGATGATGCAGTATGCCTTCCACCCCACTGGCTCCGAGGGAGCTGCAATCCCAAGAGTGCAACGACGTACTATAGGAGCAAAAATAATTATATACCTTCATTAGTATTTCACTATTTTGGGGTTCTTTATCACAATTATAGTATAATGGGCCCCAAAACCCTATTCTAACTATTCAGGCCCCTAGATTACGCCCACACCAACTGGGCCTCAAACCCTCCTATGCGCTGCAAATCGCACAGGTCAAGCCTGGTTCCTGGCTATAGTTTTTCCGTGCATGTTTATCTTACCTACAGCCTATAGGCTCCATAGTACTTCCTTTTGGGGGTTCATATTTAGAATCCTATATGGGAATCCCAAAAAGGAACTACCATGGAGGCTATGGGTATACTTGTGGATGCATGCCAAGCGGTTTGGGGATGACAAGATCAGACTGCAGGGAGGCTTGTGTGAGGCGTCTTTACAACGTCTTTTCAGACTTCATCCGCTTGTGGTGTTCAGAACTCAATGCTTCGCGCATCCACTGTCCTGCCTGCAACGACGTGAACATGACGATGCATCTGGGGCAACGCCGGCAGCCTGCCAGGGCTAGAGCCTGAAGCATATACCAGATGCCAAGCGACCAGACCGCAGCGACAGACGCAAAGTGCGACCCCCACCGCAAACCCTCAACCCTAAGTGCAGCCAATTGTCTGTGCCGAAAGGTGCAGGAAAGGTGAGAGCGGGAAGTACCGCTTCCAAGGTTGCATCGCTTTCTAGTACCCGTGCTCAGACTCCTCACCAGTACTTCCCAAGCTGTGACAGTCGTAGTGCTTGAGTTCAATCCCAGATCTTGAGGCTGCCAAGGGTGACTTCGAGAACGCCGTATCTGTGCTTGAACTATGGGGGTTTAGTTTAGGGTAAGCAGGTGATACTCGTCTAGAGGCTTGGGTGCAGCCTTTTCGAGAAGCACCGTCCAGTATCCACGAGGCAGGATTGTAGTGCATACTGCATATGTATAGTACGTTATAGACCTGGTTACAGATACGTATAGTTCCAAAGCACACTTGCTGGCCCACCGAGATGGCGGTTCTCCCTCACAGCAAGAACAAGTTGTTCCATGTTTTCGAGCTGTCAAATTTTGCGGGCTTCGGTGGTCGAGGATGCGATAGAAGACGACATGCTTCCGTAAGGGTCAAGAGCACATAGACGCAGCAGAATGAAGCAAAAGCCTCAAGAATCGCAAGCTCCTCGTTGCCAATGCCTGTCTGAAGGGAACCCACAGGCAACCACCCACTCTGCAGGGTAACGCGCTAGTTATTTATACAAACCTGACGAGCATCCAAGGACACTGTCGGGCACTCAGTATGCTCCAGCCGCCGTGAGATCTGGGATATCTGGCTCATCATCTTCCTGCATTGCTTGAGCAGGCTGCTCTTGGTAGAGCAATCCCCTTATCTACTATAGGGGCGTAAATAAGTACAAATAGTATTCTGCAGCTTCCTTACCATAATAAGTTTACAGTGGGCCCCCGAACACCTTTATCTAGATGCTTCCGAGATGTTCCGAGCTCACACAGCAGCGTGATTGCTGAACTCCGACGTTGCCAGACGATAGTCGACACGCCGTACACAATGTCATACTACAGCCCACATTCCACACCGAGCTAGACTAAACCCTAGATCCTAGCCAGTAACCCTAAACCCTAGCCAGGATGGCAACGGCACCATTTCGGACAAAGAGTTGGTCATTTTCTTGGAAGGCCCGCTCGGATAGCCGGGCTCCAGAGAAACACTTCAACGCCTTTCGAAGCCTCGAAGCATGGTTCGGGTTCACATGGAAGCATTCGCCCCTTGGAGATTCCAGCGCTGCACGGTTTGCTACGCTTTGCATCCTGATACGAGTGCTTCTGCGTGCAGCCGGGGTGCGAAGGCTACCCGGCTTTGCCTGCAACATAGACACTATACGCTCAGTACGTTGCTTCTCTTGATACTTGAAACAGTAGATGCAGCTTTGGAGCAGAAGTTGTCCTACGTGACATCAAGGATTCCTTTTGGCCATGACCCGCGCCAGGCAAAGAGTTCACACCTCTGAAGAAGGCTGGATGAGCCTAAGTCCAGGGAATTAAAGCAAGGATTTCAGATCTTTGCTTTAGGCCCTCTCGAATGCTACCGCTTCTTGCAGCGATAGGGCTTCAAAGGCTGTCGAGGGTGATTCACTCCTTCCAAGGCAAGTGAAGCCCATTAATTGCAACCACAAACTCCTGAGCCGATCCGCCCTCACCTCCGAGCCGCTCTTCCTCTCTGTGTCCTGATGATTCGTCGGAGAGCTTTTTCCTGCTAGGTGGTCCACGAGGTGCTCATGGAAGTGGCATCGAGCTTGGTGCCAGATAGAAATACGGGCGAAGGACCCCAGTTAGGGCCCCTAAACCCTAAACCCCGAACCCCTATCAACCCCTCAAAACCACCCCAAAACCCCCAAAACCCCCAAACCCTCACCCTAAGGCCCAAACTGGCCCAAAAGCCTTACGTCGGATGGCCTTCAGGCCCAAAAGGCTTCAAATCTGAGTCCTTCCAGTCCCTTAGGTAAGTTAGGCACTGAGGCACCCGAAGCCCGGCGACCTCCCATTGGCTCCCTCGCCAAGGCCGCCGAAGCCATCGAAGGAAGAGAGGACCTGGTCGGAGTCCCAAAGGTTTCGGGTTCCCAGAGTCTCCGAAACCCGTGAATTATGGAATTGATAAATAGCCTTAAATTAGACTACGGGATCCTGGTATGGTCTAAGGTAGATTTCCTGAACTAAGGGGTTTTGGAGGCTGGGGCTTACGGAAGTTTTAGGGTTTAAGTTTTAGAGGTTTAGGGCCTATTTTGGTGAAGGGATTTAATATAAGTTCTAGGCTTTTAGGGTGTATAGGATTCAGGGTGTGGGCTTGAGAGTTTAAGTTTTAAGGCTTCGAGCCTTGTAGGGTTCAGGGTTTAGATTGTAGAGTCCAGTAGCACCCAGGGTGTAGAGGCGGCACCACAGCCGGTGAGCTAGCAGCTCACGATTATATAATGCTGGTACCGAGACATGGGATGACGCAGCGCCGGCTGCGTCCTAAGAAGCATGGTTGGGTGCTAGGTCCCGGCATCATAAAACCAGAGGCAGGTGATGAGATGCGGTTCAGCTGCTACATCATCATATTATCATACCCGCCATAATCTGCAGCCTGGTAGAAGTAAGCAACTTCGAGGGAACACGTGGGAAGTAGCGCTAGTGGTCAGAGATTTGAAACAGCATTCCGAAGAACTCCAACTGCCAGTAAACAAAGATGTTGCTGAGGACTTTAACCAGTTCTTCGATTTCTTGCGCAGCGAGCTCGCTTGCACTCTCCGACGCGAAAGGGACAGGGGCCATCGGGAAACTCCCTGGTGCTTCGTAGGGAATGGGGTAATGGATCCCTGTAGTAGTCGCTATATAGTCCGCAATAATAGTCCCCAATATCCATTCCCCCATTCCCTACAACGCACCAGGCAGGAAATAGGCACAGGTCTGACAGCAGCGATGCCCTCAAGGATGCTTTTTGTGTCCTTGGCCCGAGACCGACTGGCCCAAAAGTGGCGATTTTGATCACCTCCACGCTCTTTGCCCCCATTCGAAATCGTTGGTTTTCATCATGAGGACCGTTCAAGTGCAAGCGGAGCCGATGCCCAGAGTCTCGAGCCCCTGCTCCGCGGCTGATGTGCAGTGCACGAATGACAAAGTCATGCAAGGAGCTGTGACAACAACACGTCGCACGATGAAGATCGCAGGCCTTGCACTTTTTGCCGTGGTTTTTACCTTTGCTTTCTTCGGCTGGCCCACAAATTTGCTCGAAGATGCCGCGACGCACCGGGCGGTTCTGGCTGCGCTGTTCATCACCGGCATCACGTTGGTCGCACTGGAAGATGTGCTCCGACTTGACAAGTCTGCCATCATGCTCCTGGGCATATTATGCAAATTATGGTAACTTAAACAAACTTGCTTAATATAATATGACAAGAACCCAGGCTCGTCCTGGCATCCGTGATGTGGACGTACCATGCAGCGGGCATCCACGCCAGAACTGTGGAAGGGCACCATCTTCTTGAGGAGGAGCTGATGAAGGGCCTCTTCGAGGTGGGGAGTGTCATCCTGTTCCTGCTGCCCGCCATGTGTGTGGTCGAGTCTATTGACCACATGAATGGTTTTGCCGTCGTCACTGCTTTCATCGTGCGCCACACGCAGGGCAAGCCCGGGCGGCTAATGCCCATCGTTTGTGTCATCGCTTTCTTCTTGAGCGCGGTGATTGACAACCTGACTGCCACCATTGTGTGCATCAAAATCCTGCAGCGAGTGGTCCCTCACAGCCAGGACTGGCGACACAGCTGCGGCGGGGTCGTCGTTGTGGCAGCAAATGCTGGAGGCGCCTGGAGTCCGATCGGCGACGTGACCACCACTATGCTGTGGATTCAGCACAAGGTCTCTACCGGGGGGATCGTCACTTGGACGTTTTTGCCCTCATTGGTCGCTGGCTTCATCCCCTTGTTCGGCATCTGGTGGCAAGCTCGACGATGTGGGCCGAAGCTTCAGGAAGCTTCAACGCAGTGTGAAACAGTGGTCCCGAGCCGAAACAGCATCGTCGTTCTAGTCATTGGCTTCGGCTGCATCCTCATGGTACCGGTGGTTAAGATGGTCACGGGCCTGCCACCCTACTTGGGCATGATGATGGCCTTGGGCTCCTTCTGGCTCGTGACGGAGATCTGCGACTTGGGTGCGGAGGTGGCGGCGCAGGACGAGGAGGCCCCTGAGGACAAGGAGGGCCCGGCACACCACTCCCGAAAGGGAGTGCCGGCGGCGCTGCATAAGGTGGACATTAGCAGTTTGCTCTTCTTCACCGGCGTGCTTCTTGGCGTTGCCGTCTTGGAGGCCGCCGAAGTCCTGAGCCGCTACTCCACCTTCATGCGTCAGGTCACTCTGGACAATGAGCTGCTCCTCTCAGGGCTCCTGGGCGTCTCCTCCGCCGTCGTGGACAACGTCCCACTGGTCCAGGCATCCATTGAAATGTTTGAGGAGCCAGTGGACCATCCTTTGTGGCAGCTTGTCGCTTTGGGTGCTGGCACCGGTGGCTCCATGCTTGCTGTCGGAAGTGTGGCAGGCGTGACGCTCATGGGCTTGGAGGGGGTCGGCTTCCTTTGGTACGCCAAGCGCATTTCCCCTTGGGCCGCCTTGGGCTTCGCACTCGGCCTTGCGACTTTTGCTGCGCAGCAAGAACTCCGTGCCCTTGCATAGATCCCGAGCTGCCACGAGCCTCTTCCACCGCTGGCGCTAAGAGCTGAGAGAGCGGAGCTCCTCACCGCCAGCCGAGTGGATAGCACGGTGACCTTATCCCCAGGGCGGGAGTTACCGGATTTCGGGGCCTTAGATTATAGGAGGACAATTCAAAGACCATATACATTATTACGTGCACGATTTTCTGTTCTGCATCGGCACATTGCACCGTCGGAGCTAAAGGTTGTGGTACCTTTCCGAGAATGTAGAGCGCAATTATGGACATATGCAGTCTGACCACTGTGGAATAGTATGGTAAGACTGGCTATACGTAGCAATATGTATATACATATATAATATTATTGTTATGTATATATATACACGCTTTTGTACAACCATCACAAGCTCGCGTGTCAGCGACAACAACTTCAACCTTGGAGACGGGATGCAGAAGTTTTCCTGAGGAGACTCCGGGATCCTTCAATCAATGCCTCGTGAGCTACTATAGGGGCCCAAAAACATCGAATAACTACTACTTAATATTTTTGGTTTCCTTTTTATAGACCTAAAGTATAGTGGGCCCCAAAACCCTATTCTAAGAATTCAGGCCCCTGTATTAGAAGATCTTTGGTAGCTGGGCATTGCAGGGAGAGGGGCTATAAGAAAAGCCATGGAACCCCTGTAAGTCTTGGTACCTTGTGCAAGTGCCAGGGGCTGTCTCTGATGTAAGGAACACAGCGCCGATACCATAGGGGGTTTAGGGTTTAGGGTTTAGGGTTATCCTGACAGCAATTCCGAAATGACAAGCTTAAGTATGGGCAGCCTCTGGAAGGCCAGAGCCAGGCACATGTCCTGGAAAGGTCCATGCCAGCAGTGCGCACAATGCGCGACGGTGGTGCAAGCCAGTGCGCTCAACGCCAACACATAGCTGCTGCTGTAAAAAGTGGCAGGGACGCAGGCCGTGCCATACCATGTTTGTGAACTTGATTGCCTTCATTTGCCGCTGTCTGCACTGCAACTGAAAGTGCAAACGTGCTGTTCTGCGTTTGTCTCTTCCATCCCCTTGTACTGCCTAAGCGCCATAACATGGAAACTCATGGCAGGTTCCTTTATCGACAGCGCGACGGCTTCTCTAGGCAAGAGGCGCGGCCCGCATGTCATGATCGCAGTGTGTTGAGATGATCCTCTTGCCATATTTGCATGAACGTCAACAATGGCCTGCAGCAGCGGATCATCACCTGGTTTTTTTTGCGGTAAGACTTTACGATGAATGTCCGTATTGGTGCACATGAGACCTGCCAGTTCCTTAGCAGCAGCAGCGACACAAAGTTTTACTGGTGCAGACCTGGGCTACAAACAGGTGGTACTTCGTATCATAAGATAACCCCAAGCTTAGGACTCTGAACTCCAAAACCTTTGCAGTAAAGCGGACTGTCGTATTCAGGTGGAGCACTTCCGGAAGGGCTTTTCCGACTACGATGCGGACCACTCCTTGTGTCTATACAGCCCGGTTCAGCGCGGTTGAAATCATAGTCGTATTGTGTTTGCATGTTTTCGGTTAAGGCTTTACCCAGCCCCTCAAAAGTAAGTAAAATAATGGCCCAAAACCTATAAAAGCCCATTATTGTACATACCTTTGGGGGCCAGTCAGGAGAGGACCCCAGCAGATGCGACCGAGTGGTAAGACCGGTAAGTCCAGGAAGTCAAGTCACCTCACCGTCGCGCAGATGGTTTGTCGCTGCTCTATATGCCTTCCACCAGCTCTCAAACTGAATCACACTCACACACACAGACTCGTATGATCCAATTCAGGACTTCCTCGCTGCAGCATTCAAAGATCTAACATCCTTGTCAGCCCGTAGTTCTATTTAGTCAGTTCCACAAACTTCTCTCCCACGCTTGCGGCCAAGAGAAGCGTGAGAAGTCCCGACATCATCATGGGGTCGGGCGCCATCGTTGCCGCAGCCTGCACTCCCACTCTGTTCCTTTGTTGTGGAACTTTGGCCACCTGCTGCAGAAAAAAATCTCATAGGGCTGCTGATTATATACTATAGTACGCCGCGAAACCCTATGCTGCTAAAGTTCATCAAGGCCCCTATTTCATTCACTCCCCCGCAGTGCCTCACACTCCTCGGCTGCGATCAGTGAAATCCCAGAATCGACTCCTGACCTTTCAGTGTTGCGCAGGACGGCAGCGGCAGCATCAGCACTTTAGAGTTGAGCCTGGACCTCATGTCAGGGTTTAGTAAAAAGGGGCCCCCATACTTGAAATCACTTCAGAGAGACCTCCTTCAAACAAAAGGGGCTTGGGGCAACGTTTCATGTCAGTTATGTGGAGCCATGGAGCTCAGGGCATCAATGGGCTCCGGGCCCTTTCAATACATGATCTTGTCGGGTGAGCCTGGAGCCTCTATATGGTAAGGCTGCATTAGATTAGGCTGCTAGCTGCTTTTTCAGCCATGGCTTTGTGGTACCCAAGAAGGAGGGACTGCACTTCTTGATTCACAGGCGGCAGCGCTGCCTTGCGGTAAAACCGGAGGATTTAAGGATATACAGGGTTGAAGGTATACCTGCATTCGGCTGTGTCTGCCCTAGGCCTAGGCCCATCAGATGCAAAGCGGTGGCCGAGGCGACATTTTTCGGGAGTTCGGCTACCGGGTTGGGGCCTCGGACTACAGATGCCGCCTTTCAAAGTCTGCCGATCTCTTCAGTTGAATATATTGTCTAGGTAGGCCTTTGGGACATTTTATATTTTCCAATTGTGGGGTTATAAGAGGATACCAGTTACGAATATTTTTCAGAGGCTTTAAAAGGCCAACCTAGTTGTTGGTCTGCGACAGCTTTGAATGCATATCCGACCACTCATAGGGCCCACGGCTTTGGTTTGGAAAATGCCTTTGGGCGGCGCGCCATTACTTTTGAAGGTTGCCGGTGTGAGGTTGTATAGAGGGACGATTATGTGACTAAAGCAGCGTAAAGCTCCTCCTCCGAGGTAGCATAAACTCATAAACAAGCAGTCTCAGCCGAGATCTCCGTTGAAGCTCTGCATCACTACATCGACCGAGTGGACGAAGACGGTTCCAACCAGCCGATGCCTCAACAAGTTTCAGCTTGTTTGTTACAGGCTTGAACGCCCTGTTTCCGTCTGATTGACTCTCTCACATACAATCTACTGGACCGTGTCGCATTGCGTGCAAGTAGCGCAACAGCTGCACAAACACTTTGTGAAATTTTGCGCATCATACAGTATCGGTTCTTCTCTGTACATCATGCAGGGGCCGGCAGGTGCATAGGCAGATCTAGCATCTCGTTCAGAAAACCTTCCGCGTCGGCCTGCTTGGTGGAATTGTCAGCATGCAAACAGGACCAGCATGAAACGGCAGGAGAAAACATGTGCACCAGCACAGAACTACTACTGCATTCAATTTTGTTTTCCTGACCTGTCAAATTCGGATGGCTTTTTGCAGCCCGCAGCAATTCGATCGCACTCAACCCTTGAAGCGCAGGGTCATCTCACTTGGAATGCCGCAGCTCCGTAGTGCTTTTAGGACTGCCCGCGCCTTCGATCTCTTCAGACGACCATCCTCGACATCGGATTGGCTTCGCAGTGTTATCAGCATGTTTGAGAATCGGGATCTGGTCCATACTCCAATCAACTCCATCGTAGAAAGCCTGTCAGACGCAGAGACAGACCGTTAAAGCATTACAGACTTGATATAACCCAAAGCCCAGCCGTTCTGGCTCGAGCCCAAAATGCGTACACAAGATATATTGCGAGCTGGTCTCTGCGGTAGTCTGTTAATATGTACACGCGTTCGGTACTGGTAACGTGGTTGGCATGATGAGCACAGTTGCAATTGTTCTGCCTACTCCCACTGCTGCTATAGTACTGATGCTACTTCTTTTGCTGCTGCTACTTCTACTACTTCTTTTACTGTTACTTGTATTTCTTCTTCTACTACTACCACTGCTACTGGAGTTGTGTTTCGTCTGGCAAGATGTCGATCACAGTCAAAGTTGGACTGATCAGCGGCAGGAGTGCCACTTTGAAAGCAGACGTAGAAGAAGAGGTTCGATCCGTATGCCTTCGAGCGCAGACCGCACTTGGTGTCGGAAAAGGGCGACTGGTAGATTCATCCGGAAGCGTTCTGGATACATTCTCGAGGATCAAGGATACCCAGCTTCAGGACGGTGACTCATTGACCTTTCACATTCGCAGACTTCAGATTCAGGCATCCAGAGGCGGCGGTGCTTTTGCGGCCATTCTTGGCGATGGATCCGTTGTGACGTGGGGTCGTCCCAATCGCGGTGGTGACAGCAGTGCTGTGCAGGATCTGTTGACGAATGTGAATCATATCCAAGCCTCCAATGCCGCTTTTGCTGCAATTCTTGGTGATGGATCTGTCGTCACCTGGGGTGATCCGCGCGCTGGCGGTGACAGTCTTGCCGTGCAGCATCCGTTGAAGAATGTGCAGCAGATTCAATCGTCGAATCGTGCTTTTGCTGCCATTCTTGAGGATGGATCTGTCGTGACCTGGGGTGATCCTGATCTGGGAGGTGACAGTAGCACTGTGCAGCACCAGCTCAGATGTATTCGACAAATTCAAGGGACAGGCGGCGCCTTTGCCGCACTTCGTGATGATGGTTCTGTCGTGACCTGGGGTTATTTTGATGCTGGTGGTGACAGCAGCACTGTGCAGGGTCAGCTGAGGAATGTGAAGCAGATCCAGGCTTCTCTCCGTGCTTTTGCTGCGGTTCTATTCGATGGATCTGTCGTAACCTGGGGTCTTGCAGAGTATGGTGGAGACAGTAGCTCTGTGCAGCATCTACTGAAAAAGGTACAGGGGATCCAGGCCTCTAATCGATCTTTCGCAGCCCTTCTTGACGATGGATCTGTTGTGACCTGGGGTGCGGATGGTGCTGGCGGTGACAGCAGTGCTGTGCACAATCAGCTGAAGATTGTGAGTCAGATCCAGGCCTCTGCTCGCGCCTTTGCTGCCATTCTGGGCGACGGATCTGTT